CTCACTATGTGCTCTACATTGGCGTCCCCTGTTTTAAGTGTACAACTTTGATTGCATTAATGGTTAAAACTTTGATGTTTCCGCTAAGCAAACACACACAAAAATAAGTCACAAAGAACCAAAACAACACAGATGACATCAAATGGTGACATACTTAAAGAGTATGGCATTTAATGAGAATAGCTGTAGTTCATATAGAGAACTTTAGGTTTTGCATATGGGCCACAACAACAAATCACTGTGGTTTTTTAGTTACACACTTATAATATAAGTTAGTTTTTGATGTGTAAATCTTTAATAAACTGATAAATATTCATGGTAAGCTACTGATTTTTGTCAACGTGACGTCTGATGCTGATGCTAATAGAAAGAGATTGTGAATCTTACCATGAAAGTGCCATCTCGCATGAAAAAAATGCTAGATTTTTTATTTTTTTTACGCTACCACAGTAAGTATTCAGTGTAGAGTTTCCCAATAGTTTGATAACTAATCCAGTATATTGTAGCTTAGTATTAAATATAGTGAACTAACAAACTAATAAATACTGTAGTATACTTTAATTTTCACTAGAGTGAACCAGGTTGCGAATTACAGGAGGGTTTGGGGGGGACTGACCCCACTAATTAACTCTTGATCCTCCCTGAAGGACATCAAAACAAGACGTATCAGGGGTCAGCCCATTAATAGTAAGAAATAGCTGTCTCAGAACTATATCTTAAATATTAATAATTAAAAATGTATAATATAAAAATATAAAACATACATTCGACCCCCCTATAATGGTATATCATTGTAAATGCATAAGAAATCAATGCAAGGAAAAATAGAATTCAACAGTGTGAAACTGGCAGTTCTACAGCATCGACATCTTGTATTCACAAAACACATTTCTTGTAAAATAAGTGTTTATATCTGCATGTGGCCTACAAAAAAGACAAATTAGACACATACTGTGCATAGTTTGATCTACAGTAACCTCTAAAATAGTCACTAAATATCCCTAAATAATTCAAATACTTTACAATAGTAAGTTTTTTTTTTTTATTATAGTATTAAATTACAATATGTGGAAAAAATCATCCAGTTTGAGTTCATGTTGACTAATAATATAATAAACATTAAATTACTATAGTTTTCCCAGTGTTGGCCTGCTGGAAGGGCATCCGTTGAGTAAAACATGTACTGGATAAGTTGGCGGTTCATTCCGCTTTGGCAGCCCCTGATTAATCAAGGGACTAAACGGAATAGAAAATGAATAAATGAATAAATGACTAGTTTTTTTTTTCATATGGAAATCAAAACATCCATTTTGAGTTTATGCTGACACATAATGTAATATATAGCCTAGTATTAAATTACTATCGTATTTTTTCATGTGGAAATCAAAACGTCAATTTTTAGTTCATGTTGACTCATAACATAATATATATCATAATATAATATGTAATATATACATATGTAACGTGGAAATATATCATAAACGGATAAAGGTTGACGGTAACGTTAACGTTACCTTTGTTTTGTTGACTTCCAAGCGTTGTCAGATTCCCCTCAGAAAAGTAACACTCAAAAATTCGAAGATTTTTGAGTTCATGTTGACTTTTAACAAAACACACGATTGCATTAACGTTACATCTAAACATTTGTAACGATTCAACGTATAATATACGGATAAATATCATATTATATTAAGATTTTATCACGACGTGAAATAACCGAAACACTCGGCGCGCAATTGTTGTTATGGTAACCTCATTAGGCGGAAGAACTTTTCTTAGTAAACTTTCTTAGTATATGATTTCACACAGTATTATATCTACTTTATATTTATAATAATAGATTTCAACAAACCCACTCTGCTAACTCTCAATGAAATTTTTATCGATCACTTAAATGATTTACTCGTGAAGACATCTTCTGCAACCACGGATTCATTACAAGAGGTCATATGCAGAGATCTAGCTGTGCAAATCTAATATCCAGTCCAAATGGATTTATGTCAAAGCTAAATTAAACATCATCAGCTGCTTTGATCTTAAAGTCCAGTCACAGAACGGAAAATACCGCCATCTGCTGACCAACATCATCCCTCAGCCATTTTATGTCATATTTAAGAGACCAGAAAATACTATAATATTACCGTTATTAAATGGATTGAAGATAATAAAGCACCATGGTGCTTTTTACTGCTGATAAACAGAAACCAGTGTAGTAAAGTGCTCTAAAATAAACTGACATAACAGTGCTAGTATTTGCTGACTGTGTTCTTGTTTGCTTTATTTATAAACTGCATCCACACATCCAAAATCCATATTCGCTAAACGAGAGTGTGTGTCTGAGGTTCACAAAAAAGCATATATACATATAAATAAATAAATAAATATATATATATATATATATATATATATATATATATATATATATATATATATATATATATATATATATATATATTTGGGAAAATGCCTATCATGCTTTATTGTAATTGCCTATTGACAAAAGTTCACTTTGGATGAAGCACGTTTAATTGTTTTATGGAAACTCTGATTAATCTTACTTAAGACAATGCTGTGTATCTGGATGTACTGTCGTGTACAGATTAGTATTCACAAAATAAACTGGAATAGTACAAATTATAACAAAAGGTGACACAGTGGCTCAGTGGTTAGGACAGCAGCCTCACAGCAAGAAGGTCGCTGGTTCGAGTCCCAGCTGGGCGTGGGTTTCCGCCACAGTCCAAACAGAAAGGTGAACTGAATAAGCTAAATTCTCACCCTGCCCTAATTCAAGAGCAAGGTGAGAGGGAGTTTTTTTGCCTCCCTTTTCTGGAATGTATCTTACTTCCTTTTCTAAATGCTACCTCCTGTGACCTGTCTTCCCCTGAAAATTGTGATTCGGTCGTGGGGGGTTCAATTTCACTATACGAAAATGTATGTAAGGCCTGATTTGATTTGCAATTGGCCGTAGTGTATGAGTGTGAATGAGTATGGGTGTTTCCCAGTACTGGGTTGCAGCTGGAAGGGCATCTGCTGTGTAAAACTTTTGCTGGCTAAGTTGGCGGTTCATTCCGCTGTGGCGACCCCAGATTAATAAAGGGAATAAGCCAATATTAAAATGAATGAATGAATGAAGGAATAATATTAAAGAAGGTGACATGGTGGCTCCACAGTCCAAACATATGCGCTAAAGGGTAATTGGGTAAACTATTGGCCATAGTGTGAGTGTGTGTGTGAAAGAGTGTGTACGGATGTTTCCCAATATTGCGGATGAAAGGGCATTCACTATGTAAAATATATGCTGGATAAGTTGGTGGTTCATTCCGCTGTGGAGACACCTCATAAATAAAGGGACGAAAATGAATGAAAATGAATGAATATTATTATACACACATGACTATTTAAACCAAAACTTTCTATTGATATTTAGTTTTGAACTGTAATTTAATAGAATAGAAACTTTTGTGATCATGTGAGACGTTCAGCTTTTATCACATGATTAAATTACATTTTAAATTATATTCTCGTACTTAATGCAGTATTTTATCTAGAAATAATATTTCAGTATGATTACTCAAATAAATGCAGTATTGCTGAGCAGAAGAGACTACTTTATGCATTAACAATTAACATTTTTTGGCTTTAAGAAAATGTTCTTTTTTCAATTTTATTCAAAAGAAAACAGCGAAAAATAAAGTGTTTAGTGGTTTTTTGTTACACATTTTCAATTCATGTCTTTAGATTTCAATATTTTTATTTATTTATTCTTTTAAAGGTCATACTTCACTTTATTCCAAACTTTAGTCGATATAAACTTTATTTATTCTTATCTATATTCTAAATTTTTTACTGAGTGATTTGTTCACACGTTTTGGCAAAAAATGCATTCTACTTTTTTTTCTGGCTGCAGGATTTTCTGAATAATTAAATAAATAATATCATTTTTTATTATATTAAAGTTTTTAAACAGTAATATAAGTTTTTATATTAGTTTTTAAAGTAATATAATAGTTTTTAAAGTAATATAATATAACATAATAGAACATAACATTGGACTGCTAGTTACCTACTACCTCCCTGTTTAGGTCTCATACTCAATTCCGGAGGGCCGCAGCTCTACACAGTTTTGCCCCAACCCTAATCAAACACAGCTGATCTAGTTGTGTCAAGTAGTTTTGAACACATTGATTAGTTGAATCAGCTGTGTTTGATTAGAATTGGAGCAAAACTGTGCAGAGCTGCGGTCCTCCTGGAATTGAGTTTGAGACCCATGCTGTATATTATTAAGACACTGTCACTTTATCATATTTACAAGCTTTTTGCACTACTGTTTTGAATTGTACTGTAATTTTTGCACCATATTCTAACACATTTAAATCTAGGGTTTCCACAGCGGAATTAACCGCCAACTTATCCAGCATGTTTTTACGCAGCGGATCTGTTTTTAATTCTTTTAATCATTTTTATTTTCTTGTTTCTTTTATTCTTGTTTATGTAAAGCACTTTGAATTACCATTGTGTATGAATTGTGCTATATAAATAGACTTGCCTTGCCTCTGGTTTGCACTCCTCGCCATGTGTAATTATTTTTACCACTTTTATTTTTTTCTTAGATTTTTTGATTATTAGTAATTATATTTATTGTTATTTCTTTTTAAAACTCTACTTTCTGTATTAATATTATCTGTTGGGCACCTAGGGTCTGAGAGTAACGCTATTTCGATTTTCTGTATGTCCTGTAAATTTGACTTGGTAATACAACGTACTCGCGTATAACTACACACTATAATAAAATGTGGGTATTTTAAAAAAAGTATTAAACATAATACCTTATACACAATATACCTTTTGACTGCTGTGCTTTAATTATTTACTCAGGGTGTGTTATAATATTTCAAAACTTGCTGAGCTCTGAGGATTTAGACGTGGCGCCGGGCAAAGATGATTTCCTTGCATCAGCAGATCCACTCTACGTCATGTTCCGGTTACGTCATGATCCTCGGTGGAGCTTTTGATTGGCTAGCGGGGTTCGCTTTAACCGCAATGTTGTCTAATTTCCTCAAAGCCAACAACAAACAAAACTGAAAACAAACTAAAGCGGTAAAAGTTGAAAATTACGCACATTTTAGAACGCAGTCAGTTATGTTGTTTTTTTGTAATGTGAGTTAACTTTCTGTTTCGTTTAATTAGCGATTAGCTCGTGCCTGTTACTAGGTTGTCAGTAACGGAGTGGATCGGCTAGTCACTTTCAGAGAGACTTTACTTCAGCAAGAGAACTGACACAACTCAACTTCTCCACATACACACACTCTCTGCAAATATCATCCTTCAGGTTAGTGATCTGCTATCTGTAGACGAGTGTTTCCTTTATATTATCATCAGGATGAAGTGTTTAATCCTCTTTACTGCTGTGTAAACTGATGGTTGATGTGCTATGTGGCTAGCTTATGTTAGCTCATTGATATCTCTCCAACATGTTACTCATGATTAATGTAAATTACAGCTAAAATATCGTATTTAAGAGCTCGAATGATCGAGGTGATGAAGGTCAATGCGTGATTTAATTGGTCGCGTTGGTTTAATGTGCAGAAAATGTGTTAGCACTAGCCACCCACTGGTGTATTAATGGCTTAAGTTTCTTAATGATCAGCTTTGAATGTTATGTATCTGTCAAACACATCTCTCTTAGCTGATATACGTTATATATGGAGAGAGAGAGAGAGAGAGATGTGTGTGTGCACATGCATAGCTACAGCAGTGTTATTAATAGACTTGCTTTGCACTGGTTTTTCAGTGATAAATCTAAAATCTACTTCCTGTGTGACATGCTCGGTGCACAGATAACATGGTATAATAGTCATAACACACGTCGTTTGACTGTCGTGAGAAACATGATAAAGCTGCAGCATTTCTAAAACATGCAATTACATTGGTATCATGTCGATAATGGCATGCTATTGCTACAGCATTGCATTTCCAAAGTACCATGGTATTACTATAGTTTATGTCTTAAAAATGAATCAATTTCCTGGGTGGTGGCTAGTGTACTTGAAGCATGAATTAAATAAATGGTATTAACACTGTGAATATCAAAAACATATTTTAATCATGGTATATATCCAAAAAATTAGGTATAGCCATGATTCATAACCAAAAACACAACAACATAGCATCACCATGGAACAAGTCTATAAACATTGGTTTATCTTCATATATATATCCAAAAAACATTGTTTTAAAACAACACACTTCCAAAAAATATGGTATGAGCATGTCCAAAAAATGCCATGTTACCATGCCGTTCTTAAAAACATGATATTAAATGTCCAAAAAAATGTTGTATTTCCATGGTGAGTTATAAAAAAATATGGTATTACCATTATACATGCCCTCAAAAAAAATTTATTACTATGGTATGTTATAGAAAACATGGTATTACCATGATACATGTACAAAAATGTTATATTACCCTGGCATGCTAACAAAAAACATGGTATTAACATAGTAAATGTCCAAAAAATGTTGTATCTCCATGTTTTTTTAATGAAAAAACATGGTATTACAATAATATGTGCCCCCATAAAATGGTATTACCATGCTGTGTTATAAAAAACTTGGTATTCCCTTGATACATGTGCAAAAGACATTGTACTACCCTGCATGCTAACAAAAAACATGGTATTACCATGATACTTGCCCCCCATATATTATATTACCATGCTATGTTATAAAAAACATGTTATTACCATGATACATGTTTTAAAAAGTTGAACTACACTGGCATGCTAACAAAAAAAAATGGTATAAACATGGTAAATGTCCAAAAAATGTTGTATTCCCATAGTATGTTATTAAAATCATGGAAGTACAATAATAAGTGCCCCCATAAAATTGTATTACCATGCTATGTTATAAAAAAACCTGGTATTACCATTATACATGTGCAAAAACATTGTACTACCCTGCATGCTAACATAAAAACATGGTATTACCATGATACTTGCCCCCCATATATTATATTAGCATGCTATGTTACAAAAAACATGTTATTACCATGATACATGCTAAAAAGGTGGTACTACACTGGCATGCTAACAAAAAAAAAACATGGTATAAGCTATATAAGCTGTTTCCATAGTACGTGTCTAAATAAACCATTGTTATCCAGAAAATACCAATGAGAGCCAGTGACTGAACTGAGTATCTCTTTTGGTTGTGTGTCTGTCAGGTCCTCTGTGTGTGTGTGAGTGTGTAAGAGTGCGTGTCGGTCATGTGGAGGAAGGCTGTGCTGGTGGCGGTGTTGGCGCTGGGGATGGGTTATCTCTACCACACTGACCCAGAGCTGCCGGCCCGCATGCTCAGCTACGTCAGCCAATCACTGCCACCGATGGAGGCTGGTGGAGGATCAGAACCCCGCCCACCCACACTGGAGGAGGCCATCGCTCGCGCCTGGCAGACCCTCATCACGGCTCCGGCCCGCCGCTGGGGGAGAGTTGCAGTGGGGTGAGCAACTTGGAGAACACAACGCTTCAATTACGTCATTAGTTCACTAGCAGAATGAAAAATCCCTGATAAGGCACTCACAACACATCCTCGTCATCCAAGATGTTCATCTCTCTCTGTCTTTCTAGTGTTAAAAACTATTCTAGAGCACCATCTGCTGTAAAAACTAGCATAGAGGGTATCTAAAAACTACCCTAGAGCACCGTCTGCAGTAAAAAAAAAAAAAAAAAACTAGCCTACAGCGCCATCTGCTGTTAAAAACTAGCCTAGAGCGCCGTCTGCTGTTATAAACTAGCCTAGAGCGCCGTCTGCTGTTATAAACTAGCCTAGAGCGCCATCTGCTGTTATAAACTAGCCTAGAGCGCCGTCTGCTGTTATAAACTAGCCTAGAGCGCTGTCTGCTGTTAAAAACTAGCCTAAAGCACAGTCTGCTGTTAATACTAGCCTAGAGCGCCTTCTGCTTTTAAAAACTAGCCTAGAGCGCCGTCTGCTGTTAAAAACTAGCCTAGAGCGCTGTCTGCTTTTAAAAATTAGCCCAGAGCGCCGTCTGCTGTTTAAAAACTAGCCTAGAGCGCCGTCTGCGTGTAAAAACTAGCCTAGAGCACCGTCTGCTGTTAAAAACTAGCCTAAAGCACAGACTGCTGTTATAAACTAGCCTAGAGCGCCGTCTGCGTTTAAAAACTAGCCTAGAGCGCTGTCTGCTGTTAAAAAATAGCCTAGAACGCCATCTGCTGTTAAAAACTAGCCTAGAGCGCCGTCTGTTGTTAAAAACTAGCCTAGAGCGCTGTCTGCTGTTAAAAACTAGCCTAGAACGCCATCTGCTGTTGAAAACTAGCCTAAAGCGCTGTCTTGCTGTTAAAAAGGCCTAGAGTGCCATCTGCTGTTAAAAACTAGCCTAGAGTGGCATCTGCTGTTAAAAACTAGCCTAGAGTGCCATCTGCTGTTAAAAACTATCCTAAAATGTTATCTGCAGTTAAAAACTACCCTAGCATGCTATCTGCTGTAAAAAAAACTAGCCTAGAGTGGCATCTGCTGTTAAAAACTAGCCTAGAGCACCGTCTGCTGTTAAAAACTAGCCTAGAGCGCTGTCTGCTGTAAAAAAACTAGCCTAGAGTGGCATCTGCAGTTAAAAACTAGCCTAGAGCGCTGTCTGCTGTTAAAAACTAGCCTAAAGCGCTGTCTGCTGTAAAAAAAACTAGCCTAGAGTGGCATCTGCTGTTAAAAACTAGCCTAGAGCGCTGTCTGCTGTTAAAAACTAGCCTAGAGCGCTGTCTGCTGTAAAAAAACTAGCCTAGAGTGGCATCTGCAGTTAAAAACTAGCCTAGAGCGCTGTCTGCTGTAAAAAAAACTAGCCTAGAGTGGCATCTGCTGTTAAAAACTAGCCTAGAGTGGCATCTGCTGTTAAAAACTAGCCCAGAGCACCGTCTGCTGTAAAAAAACTAGCCTAGAGTGGCATCTGCTGTTAAAAACTATGCTAGAGCGCTGTCTGCTGTTAAAAACTAGCCCAGAGCACCGTCTGCTGTTAAAAACTAGCCTAGAGCACAGTCTGCTGTTAAAAACTAGCCTATAGCCAGTCTGCTGTTAAAAACTAGCCTAGAGCACAGTCTGCTGTTAAAAACTAGCCTAGAGCGCCGTCTGCTGTTAAAAATTAGCCCGGAGCGTCATCTGCTGCTAAAATCTTGCATAGAGCGCCATCTGCTGTTAAAAACTAGCATAGAGCATCATCTGCTGTTAAAAACTAGCCTAAAATGTTATCTGCAGTTAAAATCTAGCCTAGCATGCTGTCTGCTGTTAAAATCTAGCCTAGAGCGCCGTCTGTTTAAAAACTAGCCTAACGCACACTCTGCTGTTAAGAAATCAGCGTAGCGTGCTCTTAATAGTTTGCGTGCTCTTAATAGTAATAGTTAGCATTTGCACAGTAAGTTGCTCTCACAACGTTAGCAGGTCTGACACGAGCAGGTTATTGGTCCTAGAACCCTTCCCATAACGCCTCTGTGTTTGTGTCAGGGTGAACGCCTGTGTGGATGTGGTGGTGTCCGGCGTGGGGCTGCTGCAGGCGCTCGCTCTAGAACCAGGCTCCGGCAGAGACCACGAGGTGCTACACAGCAAAGAGGACCTGAAGGAGGCCTTCATCCACTACATGGGGAAGGGCGCAGCAGCAGAGCGTTTCTTCTCAGATAAGGAGGTTTTCCAGAGGATCGCACGAGCCGCTGCAGAGTATCCCGGCGCTCAGGTGGGAGATAAAGTGTTTTAGGACAGTAGAAGTGGGGTTTTACTACATAGGTTTCCTTCAGGGCGTGAGCGGGGAGTGATTGAACTGAGACTAGCTGCTCCCTGAGCATACTAAATGTTGTCCGACAGGTTTTCTTTTTCTTTATTCAGATGAAGGCGTAATTATTCGCCCTCATGTGAATTTCTTTTTCAAATATTTCCCAATTGATGTTGAACAGATTCAGGAATTTTTCACAGTATTTCCTATAATATTTTTTCTTCTGGAAAAAGTCTTATTTGTTTTATTTCAGCTAGAATAAAAGCTTTTCTTAATTTTTTAAAAAACATTTAAAGGTTAACATTATTATCTCCCTTAAGCAATTTTTGTTTTAGATTGTCTTGTCATGTTGAATGCAAAAGTACAATGAATATTTTTTTAGCAAAAAAAGGGAAATAAAATGCATTAACACCCATCCTCACACATGATATGCTAGTATTTTGCCACAACATTTGACATATTGATGTTACAGGGGAAATGATAATAATAAATGGTTGTCTGACAGGTTTGGTTGCTCTTCTTGTGGTCTGATTCAAAGCGATCTACAAAAGTTTAATTTCGGCTGCTGCTGTAAATGAATCTGGCCCTTGAGATCTGGTTTAATGTGAATGCAGGAGACAGCCTGAGGGGAATTGAGTTTCTGTGTCAGGTTTAACTCGGCATAATCAGCAGTAATTAAAAGACACGGTGTTCATCATATGTTTTCAGAATGAATAATATGCATTATAATGCAACTCTGGAGTACAAACCTCAGAAAATAAGATGGGATTGTATGGTTTAGTTAATTTTTTTCCCTTTTTACTTGTTTTGCATACTTTTAATGCAGCTGAAATAGTTTCCTACAGTATCGAAGATCGATATTTTTCAAGGACTTGTATTAAAATTGGAAATTCCAGTATTGTGGCGACACTACTTTGATATTTAGGGCGTACTCACAGTATGCTATCTGAACCGTGCCCAGGCCTGTTTCCCAGATCATTTGAGAAGCGGGACTCAGGCATGGTACAATTGGCCGGCCCTGGCCCGGTTGGAAGACATGTGCCAGAACGCTTTTTACTTGGGCTTTGGCGCAGTACGCTTGTGTGTGAGTGCAAAACGCACCTAAGCCCGAAACTGAGACTTGACTTTTAAGGGGCTGTTTGATAAAGATTAATTAATCATTCTTACTGTTCAGTGAACGCAAACTGTTGTAGTTTATTAAAGATGCAAACCCCTCACTGCACGACAGCTGCACCTTCAGCAAACCTCCTAATTCCTGCAGCCCGAGGACTTGTTTATTGTTTATGAGCGTCAAAGTGGCTGATCTTCTCAGCGAAATATTTGACTGCGTGTCACCCATAGACTGTAAAATATATGGACGTAGTATCCGTGACGTCACCCATAGGTTTCTACAGAGCGCAAAAGAAGCTACAAGTAGGCGCGGCCAACCGTCGCCATTTTGTTCGCGCGTCATCACACCCACGGCGGGATACCAAACAAGGGCAAAGAGGCGGAGAGTGAGCGGAGCTACAGACACCTGCTGACAGTTTGCTTGGACCTGGTTCAGACACACTTTACTTTAGGAGGAATGCTTAATACTTCATCACCTGCGACTCGTTTGTGTTCTGACCACTTGTGCTTGGTGGTACACTATATCAATAAAGTGTTTAGACTTTTAAAAACACTGCTGTAATACATTGAGCCACTAAACATTGTTCTTATGACGTTTTTCAACAGGAGGAAAACACGAATTGCTTCCAAACATTTCAGATATAGTCTGTGTTAGTTAATGTAAGACTATTGATGAAATCCAGCATAACACTGTATGACAACGCTTCAGATGACTGTTCTAGAGCCTACAGCTACTCAATCTGTCAGATTCTGGAGTGCATTACAGCTCTAAATATAAATATAAACGATAAATGATCTTAAATAAAACGAATACATGTATAGAGATGGTATATAAGTATATAACTTTACTCACATGTGAAACGGAGGCCTTGTGAACGGTTTGTGAGCACAATAACGTGCACTCAGCATGCCATGCCATCTAATAATTGTAGGAAACAAGTCCAAAAGGCAGCTGACTGTGTAAAGCCACATAAAACTACACAGAAATACGATAAATATGCCGAGTTCAGTGGCTAAACTGCAGGATTCAGCTGAGGTGACGTGACGGCGACCAGTGAGACCTAGCTGTCACTCAAGTGGCCACGCCCTTAATTATGCAAACTTTATATAGCTTAATATAAACGAAACGGATGAGTTATAAAAACATTCACCCCCCTCACAGTTGTCATGAAGGGTAATATTAGCTGTATTAACCAAAATCTTTTTTTGTAGCAGGCTGTAAACACCTTTTTTTCTGCTGTAGAGTTGGCCATTCTAACAGTGGGCTCAATTGAAATTTGCTCTGTTTTGGAGCCAGGAGCGGCCAGGACTAGCGGAATTTCGGATGAATTGCAGTTTAAGTTACTTCCGTATTGGCTTTCTGAGAGAGAGCGGGAGGTTGCCGCTTGGTGTCACCGCATATCAAACGACAATAGAACTAAAGAAATCTCCACTGCGCTGAGCGGAAGCGCTTCAGAACAGCTCATCATCGTTGATGTTAGTGCGGGCCATCGGGGGAGACGGGAGGGGGGACAAGCGTGCTTTGGCCCAGTTCAAGGCAACTGTACATAGTGAGAGTACAACCTTAATCTAAAAGGTTGTCATTTTGCTTTCTAGAGTCACATTACAGAGTCATTTGCTCCATAATACACATGTAATTGAGTTTGGGCATTTTAATGAAAACTAATTTACATTTAATAAGCTTTTTTTTTTTTTTTCAGCTTTATGTGGGCGGAAACGCTGCTCTGATTGGCCAGAAGCTGGCATCTAACCCACAACTAGTGGTGAGTATTTTGTCCCTTTGGTCTCCATTAAACCTTCATGTTTACTTCAGTGTTACTTGCAGTTTACTTGTGATTTATTTTAGCGTTTACTAAGTGAAAATCATTTCTACACCAAACATTCTTTTTTTCATTAACTCAAATGTTTATTTCTTTCCTGTTTGGAAGATGTTTTAAAGAATGTTAGAAAGCAGCAGCCAAAGCACTTTTAGTCTCTACTGCAGAAGTCAAAAGCCCCTTTCACACAGTGATACCGGTAAATTTCTGGAAAATTTCCGGAACGACTTTACCGGTATATTGAAAAAAGCGCTGTTCACACAGGCGAGGACGTTACGGAAATTTTCCGGAAAAGAGCATTCACACATCCATTCCAAAATACCGGTAAATTCTGACATCATTCACCACAAATGAGCTTTAAACGGCTGCGCTTGTATTTGTAAACATTTGACTAAATTACAAACTCTGTGGAGGATCAATATTGTGAACAACTTTCGCAGGATCACTTTCTCATGTCGAGATGTTCATAATATGTGCGTGTGCAGGCGCTCACAGGCTGTTTCAAAGGCACACGCAAAGCTTAAAGGTAAACAAACAACGGCTTATCATAAGCATCTCATCTATGATTATTTACACAGTTGGCATTAAGAAGAACATATAAACGTGATCTGACTAACTTCTAGCAGCTAAATGTGTCTGGAAAAATATTCAAAGGCTTTTATCCTCACAAACCGCGCGGACATAAATGCGTCTGACTGTTGTGATTGGCTAAAGCAGACGTCTCACGTCAGCACGTTCTAGACGTGCACGCGCTTATTACGGCAATCTTCCTTCTGCATTCACACAGCGCAGCATTCCGGCAAATTGCCGGTAATGTTACAACTTCTCTTTCCGGAAAATAGCCAGAACGAATTTACCGGTATTTTCAAAAAGGACCTGTTCGGAAAGGTCTGTATGTGTGAAAGGGGCTAATGGCTGCTTTTTTTCCAACATTCTTCAAAATATCTTCCTTTGCGTTCAACAGATTAAAGAAATTCATAGGTTTGCAACCACTTTAGTGTTTAGTGAGTAAATGTTATTTGTTGTGTGAACTGTCTCTTTAATAGGCTGAAAGCAGACCATCTGTACCTGAAATGCAGATGATTGTAGTTCTCTAAAGTCTGCTGTGCTCCCTCAGGTCCTATTGTGTGGTCCGGTGGGGCCGAAGCTTCACGAGATGCTGGATGAACAGATCGTGGTGCCGCCAGAATCTCTGCAGGAAACGGATGAGTACCACCTGATCCTGGAGTACAAGTCAGGTGAGACTTAAATCGAAATGATGTTCGCAAGTCCTTACTATGATCCAATTAAAAGTGAATATTCAGTAATAAATCATTCACAGTAAGACCAAGACAAGACCTGTATATAGATCAAGATAGAGTTATTACAATGATTACGTCTACACATTGATTACATTAAGAATTGCAAATGCAATTATGTAAAGGTATTTGCAGAGGGCATTTTGGACACCTCATTTAATCACTCATTAAATCGGCAGACAAAAAACACACACACATTGACCTAGTTAATAACACTAAAATGCTGTATAAAATCAGATGGACACATTAATGAACTAATAAGAATATAAACTTAAAAGATATACACTCACCGGCCACTTTATTAGGTACACCTTACTAGTACCGGGTTGGACCTCTTTTGCCTTCAGAGCTGCCTTAATCCTTCATGGCAGAGATTTATTAAGGTACTGTAAATATTCCTCAGAGATTTTGCTCCATATTGACATGATAGCATCACGCAGTTGCTGCAGATTTGTCGGCTGCACATCCATGATGCCAATCTCCCGTTCCACCACAACCCAAAGGTGCTCTATTGGATTGAGATCTGGTGACTGTGGAGTCCATTTGAGTACAGTGAACTCATTGTCATGTTCAAGAAACCAGTCTAAGATGATTCACGCTTTATGTCATATTCTGCTGGGAGTAGCCATCAGGAGATGAGTACACTGTGTTCATAAAGGGATGGACATGGTCAGCAGCAATACTCGGGTAGGCTGTGGCGTTGACACCATGCTCAATGGGTACTAATGGGCTTGAAGTGTGCTAAGAAGATCTCCCACACCATTTCGCCAGCACCACTAGCCTAAACCGTTGATACAAGGCAGGATGGATCCATGCTTTCATGTTGTGGATGCCAAATTCTGACCCCACCATCTGAATGTGGCAGCAGAAATGGAGACTCATCAGAGCAGGCAACGTTTCTCCAATCTTCTATTGTCCAGTTTTGGTGAGTCTGTGTGAATTGTAGCCTCAGTTTCCTGTTCTTAGCTGACAGGAGCGGCACCCGGTGTGGTCTTCTGCTGCTGTAGCCCATCCGCCTCAAGGTTGGACGTGTTGTGTGTTCAGAGATGCTCTTCTAAAGAGCTCGGTTGTAGCGAGTGCTTATTTGAGTTACTGTTGCCTTTCTGTCAGCTGGAGCCAGTCTGGACATTCTCCTTTGACCTCTGGCATCGACAAGGCATTTGCGCCCACAGAACTGCCGCTCACTGGATATTTTCTCTTTTTCAGACCATTCTCTGTAAACCTTAGAGATGGTTGTGCGTGAAAATCCCAGTAGATCAGCAGTTTCTGAAATACTCAGACCAGCCCGTCTGGCACCAACAACCAAGCCACGATCAAAGTCACTTAAATCATCTTTCTTCCCCATTCTGATGCTCGCTTTGAACTGCAGCAGATCGTCTCGACCATGTCAACATGCCTAAATGCATTGACTTGCTGCCATGTGATTGGCTGATTAGAAATTTGAGTTAACGAGCAGTTGGACAGGTGTACCTAATAAAGTGGCCGGTGAGTGCTTGTACTTCAATTTAAATCCATAGACAGAGAATTCACGGTGCTTTATTTCCACTAAAAACAGAGAAAAAGCCCACATTCTTGAAATAGACCAGTGCATGTTTCAAAAGAACACAAATAAATAAATGTTTGCCTGTAGTGTCCTGCATTTAAATGTCTCCTCTCTGCCGCCCCCTGCAGGTGAACAGTGGGGTCCTTCACGAGCTCCTCAGGCGAATCGCTTCATTCTCTCCCACGATGTCTCCAATGGGGAAATGAGCGCGCTGGAGATGTTCGTGGCCAGTCTGGAGGAGTTCCAGCCGGATCTGGTGGTTCTATCCGGACTGCATATGATGGAAGGAATGGGCCGGGAACTCTGGGAGGAACGACTCAAAGAGGTCTGACACCAAAATCACTCAATGCACGTTTATTTGAAACAGAACAACTCTTGAGCTTCTCATAGCATGTTCCCACGTATCAATAGAGTTTCGATGAGTATTCAAAACCATAAACCGATCCGATATCATCTTCTCTACTCATTTCAGTAAAGTACAGTGAACAATACTACTGCTGAATATCTGATAATAGAAATGTCAGATTATAAAAATACTTGACTGTATGTATTTGTTCATGTTTTATTAATGGATAAGTTTGAAGCACTTTCCCTGAGATTGGTTGTGGCTGGAAGGGCATCCGCTGCGTAAAAAACGTCCTGGATAAGTTAGCGGTTCATTCCGCTGTGGCGACCCCAGATTAAAAAAGGGACTAAGCCGACAAGAAAATGAATGAATGAAGTCTGAAGCACACCGTCAATGAATTCGCTCAGTTTATATAGGGCTAGTAGTACTATACACAACTGTTTCTACAGGTACACACTCGAGTATCGGTTCAGTACTCTGTATCGGCCAATATCCTCAGCTCAGGTATCGAAATTGGAAAGGGGAAAATGGTATCGGAACATCCCCAGTTTTTACTTGTCCTTCATGTTGTTTGTGTTGTGATGTCCTGCAGGCTGTGGTGGCCATCTCAGACGTGAGGAACGAGGTGCCCATCCACCTGGAGCTGGCCAGTATGACGGACAGAGACTACATGAACCGAATCCTGCAGGAGGTAAATGTGTTTAATGAAGGCCGATGTTCAGGGGGGTTACGATTTGCATGGTGGAGTAAGGCCTTTACTGATGACCTTCACGGCCAATCACAGTCATTTCTGTTGAGCATGTGAACACGATGGGCAGTCAGCGGTGTTTAGGACCGCACTTAAATCTTAGTGGGGATTTCAGTACCAATTAGTATCGAATTCGATACTTTTGACAGCACTAAATGGCAGTGAATGGTGCTCGAGTTTTAGAAGCTACAAAAGCTACATTTATCCATCATAAAAGTCATCCATATGACGCCAGTTGGTTAATAAAGGTTTAAGCGAAGACGAATTATATTTTTGAGCTCATCTACACGGTTCAGCTTTCTCTGTGCTCTACTGTTAGCAGGTCTTGTCCATCCTGAACTCACAATATGAGTTGTAGTAAAGGGATAGACTCTCCCTCATGTGGTTTTAAACCTTTATGAGTTTCTTTCTTCTGTCGAACGCACCGTTCTTTGGTGAAAAAGAAATTACTATGAAAGTCAAATGGCTGCCAGAATATTCCAAATATCTTCTTACGCGTTTAACAGAAAAAGGAAATTCCTACATTTTTAAAGCAAGTTTAGAGTAAAAAAACAATGGCAGAATTTTCATTTTTGGGTGAACTCCCTTTTAATAATCTTCATTGGAGCTTTGCAATGGCAGTGAATGGTGCTCGAGTTTTTGAAGCTACCAAACCCACATTTATTATATTGCACACAATATTATATTGCGAGCTCATCTACATGGTTCAGCTTTATCTGTGCTCTTCAGTTAGCAGGTCATGTCCATCCTCACAATTTGAGTTGTAGTAAAGGGATTGTTTACCCCAAAATAAAAATGACCTCACCATCTACTTTCCCTCATGCGGTTTTAAACGAGTCAAGAATGTGAAAACGATGGCAGAATTTTTAGTTTTGGGTGAACTATAGCTGCGTCCCAAATGGCACACTATACACTATGCACTCATGCACTATGCACTTACACACTCAACAGGATAGTATATGTATGTAGTGTTGTCCCAAATGGCACACTAATGTTTTTTTACTAAGCAGAAATTCAAACTGTTTCCCTGATGACGTTTGACGGTCGCCAAATCAGTGAAATAAACGACCGAATTATCAAATAATACCTGCCGTGAGTATTGCCGCATTCACCATCGGGAGGCGCTATAATCACTCTCGTAGGAGAATTTTGCTTTCACCATCCAAAATAAATAAAGTTATCCAACATGTGCGTCCGATAGCTCCGCCCCTTCCGCTACGTAAGCAAACCTGCGGTCGTTGAGTGCGTGAAGTGTCCATCATTCCACACTTTATTTTAGCGGCTGAATGAGTGCATCATCCGGGTAATTAAAGTGCACTTCTTATTTTTAGAGTTTTCAGTGTGAACACACTACTTACACTATTTATACTACAAAATGGCGTAGAATAGTGCATAAGTATGCGATTTGGGACGCAGCTTATATCTTTAAATAATATTGGTTGCAGCTTTCTAATGGCAGTGAATGGTGCTCGAGTTTTAGAAGCTACAAAAGCTACATTTATCCATCATAAAAGTCATCCATATGACGCCAGTTGATTAATAAAAGTTTAAGCGAAGACGAATTATATTTTGAGCTCTGTAATCTACACGGTTCAGCTTTCTCTGTGCTCTACTGTTAGCAGGTCTTGTCTATCCTGAACTCACAATACGAGTTGTAGTAAAGGGATAGTTCACTCAAAAATGAAAAATTTTTATCTACTTTCCCTCATGTGGTTTTAAACGAGTCAAGAATGTGAAAACGATGGCAGAATTTTTAGTTTTGGGTGAACTATATCTTTAAATAATATTGGTTGCAGCTTTCTAATGGCAGTGAATGGTGCTCGAGTTTTAGAAGCTACAAAAACCACATTCATACATCATAAAAGTCATCAACTTGACTCCAGTGGGTAAATGAATGCTTAAAGAAAACACAAAAGTTCTATGACTTCTATAGTAGAAAAAAGGAAATTACTGTGGAGGTCAATGGCTGCCAAATATCTCCTTTTGCGTTTAGCAGATAATTTAGCAGGTTCTAAAAATGTGAAGAGTGCAAAACTTTCATTTTTGGCTCACCTGTCCCTTTAAATAATATTTGTTGCAGCTTTGCAATGGCAGTGAATGGTGCTCGAGTTTTTGAAGCTACAAAAAACACATTTATCCATCACAAAATGAACCCACACAACTCCAGTGGGTTAATGAATGTTTGAGGAAAACACAATGTTATATTTTGAGCTCTGTAATCTACATGGTTCAGCTTTCTCTGCGCTCTTCTGTTAGCAGGTCATGAACTCACAATTTGAGTTGTAGTAAAGGTATAGTTCACTCAAAAATTAACATTACCACATCATCTACTTTTCTTCATGTGGTTTAAACAAGGATAGCAGTTTTTGGGTGAACTGTCCCTTTAAATAATACTTGTTGCAACTTTTTTTAATGGCAGTGAATGGTGCTCGAGTTTTAGAAGCTACAAAAACCACATTTATTCATCATAAAAGTCATTAAATATCACACAGGAGGCTTATGGATGTTTAAAGAAAGCCTGGTATTATATTTTGAACTCATCTACATGGTTCAGCTTTCTCTGTGCTCTTTTTTTTAGCAGGTCATGTCCATTATGAACTCAATATATGAGTTGTAGTAAAGGGATAGTTCACCCAAAAATGAACATGACCACATCATCTACTCTCCCTCATGTGGTTTTAACAACGATAGCAGAGTTTTTGGGTGAACTGTCCCTTTAAAAAAATACTCATTGCAGCTTTGCAATAGCAGTGAATGGTGCTCGAGATTTAGAACATACAAAACCACATTTATCCACCACAAAAGTCATCCATAAACCTCCAGTGTGTTATTGAATATTTAAAGGAAACCTTGTATTATATTATGAACTAATCTACATGGTTTAGCTTTCTCCGCGCTCTTCTGTTAGCAAGTCACGCCCATCCTGAACTCACAATTTGAGTTGTAGTAAAGGGATAGTTCACTCAAAAATTAACATTACCTCATCATCTACTTTTCTTCATGTGGTTTAAACAACGATAGCAGTTTTTGGGTGAACTGTCCCTTTAAATAATACTTGTTGCAGCTTTTTTTAATGGCAGTGAATGGTGCTCGAGTTTCAGAAGCTACAAAAACCACATTTATTCATCATAAAAGTCATTAAATATCACACAGGAAGCTTATGGATGTTTAAAGAAAGCCTGATATTATATTTTGAACTCATCTACATGGTTCAGCTTTCTCTGTGCTCTTTTTTTTAGCAGGTCATGTCCATTATGAACTCAATATATGAGTTGTAGTAAAGGGATAGTTCACCCAAAAATGAAAATGACCACATCATCTACTCTCCCTCATGTGGTTTTAACAACGATAGCAGAGTTTTTGGGTGAACTGTCCCTTTAAAAAAATACTCATTGCAGCTTTTCAATAGCTGTAAATGGTGCTCGAGATTTAGAACATACAAAACCACATTTATCCACCACAAAAGTCATCTATAAACCTATTATTGAATATTTAAAGGAAACCTTGTATTATATTATGAACTAATCTACATCGTTCAGCTTTCTCCACGCTCTTCTGTTAGCAGGTCATGCCCATCGTGAACTCCATCGGTCTGAACGAGCAGGAGCTTTTATTCCTGACCCAATCAGGAGGAGGCCCTCACTCCGACCTCACTTCATGGGACGGCGTACCAGACGTGGGCCGAGTCACAGACATCCTCCTCTGGGTCCTAGAGCAACACGGCCGGGCGGACGCACAATCAGAAGCCGACCTCACCCGCATCCACTTCCACACACTAGCATACCACATCCTGGCTACGGTGGACGGGCACTGGGGGAACCAGGCGGCGGCGGTGGCAGCGGGCGCGCGTGTGGCTAGCAGTCAAGCGTGCGGTTTGCAAACCATCGATATCTCAAAAGTGCTTCTTAAGGCACCGTTAAACTTCCACAGCTCCTTCTCGGAGCCGAGAGAGAGTCTAAAAGTGGAGCCGTCCCGACCGGTGACCGTGTGGCGGAGAGGAAACGTTTCTTTCCATCTCACACCCGTGCTGGTCTGCAAACAGCCGCTGAGGACTGTGGGATTGGGCGACGCTATTTCAGCCGAGGGACTCGTGTTTTCAGAGCTCACGTCTGAGGTTTAGAGACACGCCGGTCTTATTTTATCTTTTTTTTTTTTTACTCTAATGATGGGAAGAGAGAGAGAGAGAGAGAGAGAGAGGATGTTTGTTGTGGAGATGGAGTGTGCACTGTTATTCTCTATTTGGAGATTATTATTGTTTTTCCTCTGAGATTATATTGAGAAACTCTGCACTGAATGACATGAGCCAGCCTCCGCTATTAGTTTTATGTTTATTATTATTATTAATATTGGTCACACTTTATTTTGATGAATTTAAGGTACACTGCATCTACATGCTAACTTTTCTCATTGGATTATAAGTAGACTGTTAGTGTTCGTGAAAGTTGACGTACTCGCAGTTTCTTATAGTCAGTTAAATGTCTGTTGAAGGAGCAGATATTAAGCAGACAGTCTACTAATACTCAATTGGACCATCAAAATAAAGTGTTACCATATTATTTACCACAAATCAAACTCTGTCATTATACACTCCATTTGTTTATTGCAGTTTTTATTTTGGTAATTTCTTTTACTATAAGGTTGTATTTGTTAATTGATTTACTAACGATGACTAATACATTTATTACACTCACAGAAATCAGTCCAAGGCACTCGTAAAGTGTGGAAAATTTAAAAATGTAATATTCACATGGCTAAATCTTAAAAAACCTACGCGTTTCAGCAGGGATCTGCCTTCATCACGTTAACAACGGTCAGGTGCTTCTAGTGCAGGGATCACCAAACTTGGTTCTCGAGGGCCGGTGTCCTGGATATTTTAGTTCCAACCTCAATTAAACACACCTGAACCAGCTAATCAAGCTCTTCCCTACTGAAAAAAACAGCTTAAACAAGCCTAGGCTGGTTGGCTGGTTTTAGCTGGCCGACCAGGCTGGTTTTAGAGGGGTTTTGGCCATTTCCAGGCTGGTTTCCAGTCAATTCCAGCCTGGTCTTAGCTGGTCTGGCTGGGAGATGACCAGCTAAAGCCAGCCTAGCCAGGCTGGGAGCCCAGCCAAAACCAGCTATGTCCAGCTTAAACCAGGCTGGTCAAGCTGGTTTTAGCTGGATTTAGCTGGTCATTTTCCAGCCTGACCAGGCTGGAATTGACTGGAAACAGCCTGGAAATGGCCAAAACCCCTCTAAAACCAGCCAACCAGCCTTTTTTGGGCAGGACTCGAACCAATGACCTTCTTGCTAACCACTGAGCCGCCCCATTATTAGTTCATGTTAGTAAATACATTACCTAAAGCAACCTTATAGTAATGTGTGACCCATTTTAGTTATGACAGGAGCTCATGCTCTGGTTAGCAGGTGCAGAAAACCAGCGCAGTCTTAAACACCTTGAATTTCCATCGAACACTCCTTTTTTTGGGTATGTGAATGTTAATAATTAGCAGAACTTTTTCCAGCAGTGATTTTTGTTTTTATCTGTGTCAAGTAATAAGATCTCTTACACTTATGAAATTAAGTAGTAATAATTAAGAGTAGTTCACTCAAATAAAAAGAAACATCCATAATTTATTCCCCCTTAAGCCTCTCTGAATATACACCGTTTGAGTTGTTTTAAAGGGAGATAGTTCACCCAGAAAAGAAAATTACTTCATTTATTCTCTCTTATGTGTGTTTTAAACATTTATACGTTTCTTCTGTTGAACACACACACACACACATTAACATATTTTGAAGAATGCTGCTTGCCCATAAACATCCATAGTACTAAAAAAATACTATGGAAGTCAATGGATGCCAGCAACCAACATTCTTCAAAATATCTTCTTTTGTGTTCAAACTCAAGTAGATCCTAAACAAGTAAAGGGTGAGTAAATAATGACATCATTTTCATTTTCAGGTGAACTGCCACTTTAAATGGTAGTAATAATGTGGCTTTTCACAGCTTTGTAATGGCGGTGGATGGTGCTCGAGATTTTGAAGCAACAAAAAAACACATTTACCCATCATAAAAGTAATCCAGTGGGTTAATGAATGCCTATAAAGTTTCAAATATGCATATTCTTCATTCATTCACTCAGTGTTAATGCAGTTTGTGGAGCTTCAAAAACTCGGGCACCATTCACTGCCATTATAACATAATCAGAGTATGATAATTGATTGAACACAGAATACAAATAGGAAGGCTTAAGGATGAGTCAATCATGGGATCTTTTTATTTTTTGGGCGGGGTCAACTATTTATAACCCACATTTATAGTGGCTAGTTTAAACCACCAGCTTACCTGATGGTATTGTGGCCGTTATTCAGCACACATAACGCCATGTATACAATAAGTATCATTCATTACTCTTGTCTTAAATGAATCTAAATGTTCTTAAGGGTGGGAATTTAGCTTTAGGATTGTTTACCAGCATTGTATGTATATAATAAGAATCTAAACGTACATATTTTACATGCATTGTGTTACCATCGGCTGCTGGTTGATCATGTAGTGGTGTTTATAAAAGTGACACGCGATGATGAATCTGTACATACAAATGATGTCATTTATTCTTCTAGCTCACGATGATTTCCATCCACACATCTTTTTAATGGGACGTACTAATTAATCTTGTCTTAAATCAGCCTTAAAGTTTGACAGACCCATTTGCAGCTTTTGTAACCAAAGCGTAAAACTGTTTGTGAATTAAACGGAGCAGGACTGAATTCACAACTAAGTCTGTTGGTGAATAAGGTGAGATCCTGAACATTGTCTTGTTTTGTACTGTTTTTTTTTTTTTTTGTAACACTCCATTGTTGACACTGTTAGTTTCTCAAACCAACTTTAAAACCTTTAATCTAGGAAAACGGCATCTTCAAATTGGGAATATCTTAACTGGGATCTCTTTTTACTTATGGAGTATATTAAACTTTAGACTCTGAGAAGGTTTTTGTTAATAGATGGGATGAGAAACTACCAGAACGTTCACGTTCATAAATCTTTTGGGTGTGTAAGTTGTTTTAGGGTTGTAGTTTGCACATGTGATTATGCAACAAAGTCTTTAAGAGTTACTGGGCAAAACGACCTTCAATCATAAACGTTATATATATATTAGCTCTGTTAACTTGAGTATGGATTATTTTTATAGAAATAAACACTTCTGTTCCGGTTATAAAACCACTGTTTCTTTGTATTATTATGGTGCTGTTTTGTTTTTTTCACACTTCACAATAAGATTTCACTAGTATGGAAGTCTGTTTCTGCCACAGGAGGAAAATAATTACAGCAATAACTGTGACGAGATTTGGCTGCCAGTTTATTGACTTGTATAAATGAATTTACATCCCACCCACATTACAGGTTTATTAATTTCTCACATTATTTTGAGTTTATAATTTTACATTTTTTATAGAATTGCAACTTTATTCATCAGTTTTTGTGTTTATTGGCTCTTTCACAACACGTTTAAGTCAGATTTTGTTCAGATTCATATTATTGTATATATATATATATATATATATATATATATATATATATATAACTTATAATAATAACTTGACTTCTAGTTGATCATTTGGTATGAGAAGTGGCTTATATGAAAGGTAAAGGCCTCTAGATTACATTTATTTTACCATAATAAAATATGATCATGCCTTGACATTGAATGATTTAATCAGGACAGTAAGTTCTGACTTTGCTTAGACTAAAGTCTTGTCACTGAACAGAAATAATGTCCAGTATAGAATATAAAGTCCTGCTGCAGTGGAGGCAGAATGAATATTGTGTCTGACTCCATCATGAGCTTGGAGGACTGCATCCATACATCTCTGACATGACTCACATCACTGACTAATAAAGTCATCTGGAATGGCAAAGAAAGTGTTCTTGCAGGACTCCCAGAGTTCATCAAGATTCATCTTCAATGCCTCCTCCTCTGTCTTACCCCAGATATGCTCAATAATGTTCATGTCTGGTGACTGGGCTGGCCAATCCTGGAGCACCTTGACCTTCTTTTTCTTTCAGGAGCTTTGATGTGGAGGCTGAAGTATGAGAAGGAGCGCTATCCTGCTGGAGAATTGTCCCTCTCCTGTGGTTTGTAATGTAATGGGCAGCACAAATGTCTTGATACCTCAGGCTGTTGATGTTGATCATCCACTCTGCAGATCTCTCGCACACCCCCATACTGAATGTAACCCCAAACCATGATTTTTCCTTCACCAAACTTGACTGATGTCTGTCAGAATCTTGGCTCCATGTGGGTTCCAGTAGGTCTTCTGCATTATGTGTGATGATTGGGATGCAGCTCAACAGATGATTCAGCAGAAAAATCCACCTTCTGCCACTTTTCCAAATGATCAACTAGAAGGCAAGTTATTATTTGTTGTTCTAATAACTGAGATCCACGACAAGATTTGGTCAGGTTAGTGTATATTTACATATTATATTAAAATTAAGATTTGTTTGAGTACACTTCTCACAGATCTTTTAAATTAATATCTACAGGATGCTTTACAATAATATATTTGTGTATATAATAATACAATATACAAAATATAGTCACTTGCAACATTATTACTCACTGTTGTGTATTTACAATTCTGACTTCATTATATATATATATATATATAAATAATATATATACATATACACATACATACAGTTGAAGTCAGAATTATTAGCCCCCCTTTGATTTTATTTTATTTTTAAAATATTTCCCAAATGATGTTTAACAGAGCAAGGAAATTTTTACAGTATGTCTGATAACATTTTGTCTTCTGGAGAAAGTCTTATTTGTTTTATTTTGGCTAGATTAAAAGCAGTTATTAATTTTTTTAAACACCATTTTTGGGACAAAATTATTAGCCCCTTTAAGCTAATTTTTTTCCTTTAATCTAAAGAACAAACCATCGTTATACAATAACCTGCCTAGTTCACCTTATTAACCTAGTTAAGCCTTTAAATGTCACTTTAAGCTGTATAGAAGTGTCTTAAAAAATATCTAGTCAAATATTATTTACTGTCATCATGGCAAAGATAAAATAAATCAGTTATTAGAAAGAAGTTTTTAAACCTATTATGATTAGAAATGTGCTGAAACAATCTTTCATCCATTAAACAGAAATTGGGGAAAAAAAATAAACAGGGGCGCTAATAATTCAGGGGGGCTAATAATTCTGACTTCAACTGTATATATATATATATATATATATATATATATATATATATATATCACAGTTCTGACATTTTCCTCTATGTTTTCTCAGTGGTTCTTAACTGTATAATAAATAAGGTCAAATTAACTTTTTCTGAGGCAGAACCAAGCTATAAATCTATAAATACTATTATTACAAACATTAGTTTCAGCAGTATCTTAGTAAATGTTGGAATTAACATTTATTAAGATTAAAGGAATAGTTCACTCAAAATAAAAATGTACATATTTACTCTCCCTCAAGTGGATCCAAACCTGTATGAGTTTCTTTTTTCCACTAAACACAGAAGATATTCTGAAGAATGTTGGAAACTGGTAGCCATTCACTTCCATAGTGAAGTCAATAGAAAAACAAATCACCAGGGATGTTAATTGCTGCCCGTTTTCCACATTGTTGTAAATATCTTCATTTGTGCTCAACAGAATAAATAGAAACAGGTTTGGAACAAGTTGAATTACAGTTTTAGTTCAATGTTAGCTAATGTAACCTTATTGTATAGTGTCATACAAAGTGTTCAAATGCAACACAACTACATGTATCTACATTAAAGGGACAGTTCACCCAACAATGAAAATCACCTCATCATTTACTCTCCCTCATGTGGTTTTAAACCTTTACGAGTTTCTTTCTTCTGTTGAACGCAAAAGAAGATACTTTGAAAAATGTTGATTGCAATTGACTTAAATAGAAATTACTATAAAAGTAAATGCGTGCTACATACTGTACCAGCATTCTTCAAAACATCTTTTGTGTTCAACAGAAGAACTCAAATAAGTTTTGATGATTAAAGGGATCTTTTTTTGGTGAACTGACCCTTTGACATCATTCAAGCATCTAAAGATCAGTGATTGTAACCTGCGCTGAGCATCAACTCTGTACATTCATAAGTTATAGACAACACCTTGGCCTTTTGTAATCTGTGCTCTATTCAGCCACAGGTTTAGCTCTGCCCTTCTTGTCTTTGGGTTTGGCTGGTCCGGCTGCATCCTCCACCTCATCCTCATCCTCCGGGTCTCCAGCAGGAGGAGATGGCGCTCTGCTCACATCCGCCTCTGGAGAAACACACAGACATTTAGCATATTATTTAGAATATAAAAACACGTTTAACTAGGCCTGGGCTGTATGATCTACAGTCAAAACCTCCATTAATTGAACACTCAACCTTAATTTAAATTTATTATCATTGTAACTTAATATTTCTTTTTGCTTTACATAATAAGAACAACCTGCATCTCCAGTGAACATATGATCAAAATCACCTCTATACATCCATATGTGATAACTGGAAATCATAAAAAATAAACGGTTTGACTATATACAGCAGGAAAAATAAGTAACGAACACGTCAGTATTTTTCTCAGAAAACATATTTCTAAAAGTGCCGCTGACTTGAAATGTTGGCAACAACCGAAGAAGTGCATATATGCAAAGAAAAAACAAATCTAATTGGTTTACAGATGAAGTTCTGTGTAATAAAATGAAATGACGCAGGGAAAAAGTATTGAACACATGAAGGAAGGGAGGTGTAGTTCGGCAGGGAAAGCCCAGACAGCAGCTAAAATCTCTCAGTGGTTCTTCATCAACCTTCTTCCCTTCCTCAGTGTAAATGAACATCAGCTGCTTCAGTCCAACATCTACATGAGCAGGAGGATGAAGATGGAACCATTTCAGCAAGAAAATGATCAAAACACAGACAAGGAAGCTCTCAGATGCTCTCAGAGAAAGAAAAGCAAGCTGTGGAATGGCCCAGACAATCACCTGACCCGAATCCAATAGAGAATACAAAATAAAGCTCAGATTTGATAGGAGAGACCCACAGAAGCATCAAGATTTTGACACTCTGTTGAAGTCTGTGAGAAACTCCCACCTGAGCAATGCATGAGACTTCATTCTCCATATGTGAGCCGACTTTAAGCGGCAGCACCAAAAAAGCCTTTAATATAAAGTATTAAATACGTTTCAGTAGTTCAATGCTTTCTCCTTCTGTCATTTCATTGTTCTTACACAATACTTCTTCACACTTTCTTGTTTTGCTTTATTTTTATGTATGTATTGTTTGGGTTTTTACCAAAATCTGCTTTAATCCCATGTCATCCCACAGAGCAAAATTTCTCTGGCCCAGCTCTGGCCCACACAATCAGGTTTTGCTTGGCCCACATGCCGCAGTGAATTACGGTACATGACTGGACCAAATCTGGCTTCTAGACAAGGGCCAAACACAGACCATATCTGGGCCGAGTCTCAGCCAAGTTAATAACTCATAACTGGGCCTGAACTGGGCCAGTAAGGTTGGTGTGTCACGATTGCAATGAAATTGATAAACCCATGAAGCATTGCGCTTTAGGCACACTATGGGCCTTGTTTTTTTCTCAGTGACCTGATTGGTAGAATTGATTTATTTAATCAAAAATTATTTTAATGTATTTTAAATGTGGGTCAAGACTGGCCAAACTCACGTGGCCCACAATCAATTTTTTAAATCTGGGCCAAATACTACGTTTTACATCTGGCCCAAATCTTGTGTGTCGCATTATAGACGGTGCCACCTCTGCCAAACCCAGGCCATGGTTGGCCCACATGCTGTATGCCAGTGCCGGATGAATGCCTGCTGTCCCAGCTTAATGCCAAATCTGGGCCAGAATTCTTTGCTACTAGGGATCAGCTCCTTTAGAAATATTATTCCAAGGAAAAAACATGAACATGCGTTCAATACTTATTTCCCCCGCTGTATATGGGGACACTGTTTCATAGGTTATGAATTTCAGTTTCTGTGAACTGGAGGGATCTGCTTGTGCACCTGCGCTGATCTGCATGCTCTTGCTGAATCCTGCGGCTGAAGACATGGCCTGACCCAGAGCCTGGTTGGTGCCCAGGGGCTGCTGTGAGCCGCTGGGTTTGCTGGAGGAGCTGCGCTGGCTGGTTTTGCCGTCTTTGCCTGGTTTGCTCCAGTACAGGTTTTCGCCCGCTTGTAAAGCACCGCCCAGCTTCTGAGCCATTTCAACCAGCTGTGTGAACAAATACATTTACAGGTCACAATAAGTGCTTTGAAATATACATGTTGAATTGGAAATTTGACGTAATCTCGACTGAAACATAAAGACATACCTCAGGGTCAAACTCAGTGTTGCTGCTGTTCTCCAGCTGAGTGTTGACTTTCCTTTCCATCTCCTGGTACTGCAGCAGGGCGGCTTTCTTATCTCCCTGGTTATACAGGAACACTGCAAAGTTCAGGTTCACCAGCGGGCTTGATCTACCAGACAGAAACCACTCGGTTAACTCAACTAGCCAATAACCGGTCAAGATTTAGCATTGTTTGAAGAACATACTCATCTATCTGAACTGCCTGTTCATAAGACCTGCGGGCGTTTTCAGCGTCATCCAGATTGGTCAGAGCAACTGATGAGAGATGAAGCAGAAACAATATAATATATGATATATATTATATATATTTACCCGCGAACAATATATATAGTAGACTCATGTCTTTGTATATGATCAGTATGTGATATATATTTACCCCCGAGCAGTTTGTATAATTCACTCTTGTCTATACATGACCAGTATATGCCATTTATTTACACGCGAGTGGCATATATAGTTCACTCATGTCTATATATGATCAGTATAGGATGTATATTTACCCGCCAGCAGCATATCTTTATTTATTTATTTGTTTATTTGGCAGGGACAGTGTACATTAATTAGCATTTCTGCATTTGTACCAGAATTAGCCAGAGGGTTATTTTTCATCTGTTGTCCCTATAGTTCACTTATGTCTATATATGATTAGTATATAATGTATATTTACCCGCCAGCAGCATATATATTTCACTCATGTCTATATATGATTAGTATATGATGTATATTTACCCGCCAGCAGCATATATATTTCACTCATGTCTATATATGATTAGTATATGATGTATATTTTCTCGTGAGCAGCATATATAGTTCACTCATGTCTATATATGATCAGTATACTATGTATATTTACCGGGCAGCAGCATATATAGTTTACTCATGTCTATATATGATTAGTATATGATGTATATTTACCTGGCAGCAGCATATATAGTTACTCATGTCTATATATGATCAGTATATAGTGTATATTTACTCGTGAGCAGCATATATATTTCACTCATGTCTATATATGATCAGTATATGATGTATATTTACTCGTGAGAAGCATATATAGTTAATTCATTTCTATATATGATCAGTATATGATGTATATTTACCCGCCAGCAGCATATATGGTTCATTAATGTCTATATATGATCAGTATATGATGTATATTTACCCGGCAGCAGCATATGTAGTTTACTCATGTCTATATGTGATCAGTATATGATGTATAATTACTCGTGAGCAGCATATATAGTTCACTCATGTCTATATATGATCAGTATATGGTGCATATTTACCCGCCAGCAGCATATATAGTTTACTCATGTCTATATATGGTCAGTTTATGGTGTATATTTACCCGCTAGCAGCATATATAGTTTACTCATGTCTATATATGATCAGTATATGATTTATATTTACCTGGCAGCAGCATATATAGTTCATTCATGTCTATACATGATCAGTATATGATGTATATTTACCCGGCAGCAGCATACTGTATATAGTTTACTTATGTCTATATATGATCAGTATATGATGTATATTTACCTGGCAGCAGCATATAGTTCACTCAAGTCTATATATGATAAGTATATGATGTATAATTACTCGTGAGCAGCATAAATACTGTAGTTCAATCATGTCTATATATGATCAGTATATGATGTATATTTACCTGGCAGCAGCATATAGTTCACTCATGTCTATATATAATCAGTATATGATGTATATTTACCCGCCAGCAGCATATTAAGTTCATTCATGTCTATATATGATCAGTATATGACATATATCTCGCGAGCAGCATATATAGTTCACTCGTGTCTATATATGATCAGTATATGACATTTATTTACCCGCAAGCAGCATGTATAGCTCACTTATGTCTATATATATATATATATGATTAGTATATGACATATTTATCTCGCTAGAAGCTTATATTTGTCACTTGTGTTTATATATGACCAGTATGAGACATTTATTTACCCGCGAGCAGCATGTATAGCTCACTTATGTCTATACATGATGATCACTATGTGATGTATATAGCAGTATGTATAGTTCACTCTTGTCCATATACATAAAATTTATGTAATATATATTTACCGGCGAGCAGCATATATAGTTCACTTTTTTTATATATATATATGATCTTAATACATTTACCTAAGAGCAGCTGGTATAGTTCACTCTTGTCTAAATATATGATCATTACGTGATATATTTACTTGTAAGCAGCATGTATAGTTCACTCACGTCTATATATGATCAGTATATGATGTATATTTACCCGCAAGAAGGATGTATAGTTCACTTATGTATATATATGATCAGAACGTGATGTATATTTTCCCGCAAACAGCAGGTATAGTTCACTTATGTCTATATATGATCATTACGCGATATACATTTATCTGCGAGGAGCATATATACCTCACTTTTGTCTATATATATATGTGTATGTGTGTGTGTATATATACATACATATATATATATATATATATATATATATATACACACACACATATATACACACACACACACACACACACACACACATATATATATATATATATATATATATATATACATATATATATATGATCATATGTGATATATATTTACCGGCAAGCAGCATGTATAGTTCACTCATGCGTGGCCGCAGGTTGATGGCGGCGCTCAGAAAGTGGAAAGCGGAAGCGAACTGCTGCATGGTGAGGTGAACCAAACCCAGATTATACAGAATCTTCCAGTCAAACGGAGACAGATAATTCGCTCTCTTCAGACAGCTGATGGCCTGAAATATCAAAAGATAAATATATATACGTACAATAAAGCTACATTTAAGCATTAGTTGTTGTAGTTATGGTGTGTAACTCACAGCGACGTATTTCTTTTTGCCGAAGAAGCACATGCCGATGTTATTCCAGAGAGGTGGGCTCTCGGGGACAGCGTATGCCGCCACACGATACTTGTTCATGGCCACGTCATAATCTCCATGAGTCTGCATCATACTGCCAGCCGCAAGGATGGCCTGAACACACACACACACACACACACACACACATACACACTTCAATTTTATAGCACTTTATGCAATGCAAAAACAGCTTCAATAGAGAACACAAATATCAAAACAGGTCTTTCTTCACAGTTCATAAGGCAAACCAAAGGCAACACACACATACAGCATACAACTGAAACTGCGCCTCACCTTAAAGTTATTGGGGTCATAGGTCAGAGCGTTTCCCAGATGCTCGAAAGCTTTCTGATACTTCCCAAGCTAAATGAACAGAGACAGACAGCAGTGAACAAAAACTGCATTCACAGCACACAGGACTGATTACTGGACACTGAATGTGTTTCTCTGAGGACGCAGTGGAGTTTGCTCAGTGACACAGCATTATGGTGTAGTTGTCAGTATTTATGATGGATGTCTCAGAGCGTCTCTTACCTGCATGTACAGCAGTCCTAATGTGGTCAGCAGCTCTGTGTTCTCTGGAGAAAACCTGACACAAACACAATCAAAATAACCGAATTAGAAGAAATGTCATGTGCTCATTTAACTGTTCTGCTTTTATTTTTATGTATCCGGAATCCCCTCACAAGCCAGAGCTGTGTCAGTTGGCATTTCTGTGTGGAGTTTGCATGTTCTCCCCGTGTTGGCGTGGGTTTTCTCCAGTTTCCCTTACAGTCCAAACACATGTGCTATGGACGGGGCTGTCGCCAGATTCGCATATGCACAAAAATGTTTAGTGAGCCCCCCTAGTCATTAGTGGCTGGGGGCTTCCCGCCACAGGGCCCCTAAATCATATGCACTCTGCCCCCCTTTTCCCCCACTAGCTACACTAAATTGGCTGTAGTGTACGAGTGTGTGTGTGTGTGTGTGTGAATGAGTGTGTATAGTTGTTTCTTAGCACTGAGCTGTGGCTGGAAGGACATCCACTGCTTAAAACATATGCTGGAATAGATGGCGGTTCATTCTGCTGTGGCGACCCCTAATAAATAAAAGACTAAGTCAAAGAAAAATGAATGAATGTATCCCTTAACGGAAACTTTCTATATTTTGAGTAATATTTTATTATTTTTTAAATCATACATATAAAAAATATTTATACATGCATAGTTAGTATTTTTATAATATATTTATACTTTTTATATGTATTATTTATTTTAAGTCATGTTTTATTTCATTATTAATCATATATATATATATATATATATATATATATATATATATATATATATATATATATATATGTATTTTTTTTTTAACATATAATTTATTTATAATTTTTTATTGCTTTTTTATAATTTAAGTCCCTATTTTTTATTTTTATTATTTATTTTTTAAGTTACTATTTAATTATTAAATCATACATATAATATATATATATATATATATATATATATATATATATATATATATATATATATATACGGTTAGTATTTTTATAATACAATTATATTTTTTATGCAATTTTTTTTCTATTTTAAGTCATATTTCATCATTAAATCATACAAATAAACATTATTTGTACGGTTAGTATTTTTATACCTTTTTAATGTATTTTTTTATTTTATGTCACATTTTATTACATTATTAATTATAAATATAAAAAACTATTAATTATTTATATTTAGTTAGTATTTTTATAATATATTTACACTTTTTTCATGTATGGCAGGATCTGATCAATTATGAATACTTATGAAATGTAATGCCCTTTTGTTTTTATGTTGTCATTTGAAAGTGTTTTTTGTTCTGATTTGTTTGAAAAAATATAAAATAAATTAGGCACTGTTATTTTTATGACAATATCAAACATCCAATTCAAATTATCATTAGCTGATTATGAGGTACAATAATCGCTATTAAATAAATTATTAACTTTGACTTTTTGCCTGATAAACTCTTAATTTGCTGTTAACCTTAACTATTTATAAGCAGCAAATTTAGTTTACTGTAGTTGAGTTTATATATTAGGTAGAATTAAGAATGTAGAATAAACTAATGCAGAATATTAGCTTTATAATTATTAATAAACAGCCATTAAATAAATGATAGGTAGGAAAAAAGCCACAAGTTAAAGTGGCAGTTCACCCAAAAATTTAAATTTACTCACTTTTTACTTACGCTCAAGTGCTTCCAAACCTTTATGAGTTTCTTTCTTCTTTTGAAACACCACAGAAGATAATTTGAAGAAAGCTGAAAACCTCTAACCATTGACATCCATAGTAGAAAAGACAAATTTAATAGAAGTCAATAGTTACAGGTTTCCAACATTCTTCAAAATATCTTCTTTTGTGTTAAACAGAATAATAAATTCCAAAAGATTTAACACAAGGATAAGTAGAGAAGATATTTTGAAAAATGTTGGAAAGCGGTAACCATTCACTTCCATAGAAGGAAAAACAAATACAATGGAAGTCAATAATTGCAGATTTTCAATATTCTTCCAAATATCTTATTTTGTGTTTAACAGAAGAAAACAACTCATAAAGAGTTTAAACAAGTGAAGCGTGAGTAGAGAAGATATTTTGAAAAATGTTGGAAAGCAGTAACCATTCACTTCCATAGCAGGAAAGACAAATACAATGAAAGTCAATAGTTACAGGTTTCCAACATTCTTCAAAATATCTTCTTTTGCGTTTAACAGAGGAAAACAACTTTTAAAAAGTTAAAACAAGTACAGCGCGAGTAAATGATGATGGAATTGTCATTTTTGGATGAACTACCACTTTAAAAGTCAATATTGGTACTATTTATTAATGTTTTATATTTTGCAAACCAAACAGCTTCGACATTAAACATTTGTACTATTAAAATGGTCTAGTACAACTCATTTAGACTACTTTTATGATTTTAAGATTTTCTCTCTTCACTAGTAAAGAAAAAGAGCAGCTCCAACATTCAGCTAAACGTCTCCTTTTTGTGTTTTCATTACAAAAAGTCGATCATACAGGCTTAAAACAAAACATACTGTAAATAATCAAACAAACTGACATTACCGACCCAATAAATGATGACAGAATTGATAAACTCTTCTTTTATAATCAGAATCCAATCGACTAATCAGATTTTAGAGGCCGGTTTGGCACTCTATCTTTTACTATAATCTAATTTTATGCACCATTAAATCAAGTTATTAGCTGCTGCTCCGGAATCAGCAAAGTGATTCAGAAACAGATCCCGATTGACCCGATCATGATGACAGCAGAAAATGAGGCTGTTTGTGTGGTCTGAGACTCTCTTCATGTGTGTGTCTGTGCGTGTGTGTTTGAGTCGCTCATGCCAGCAGTGTGCCGTTATTAATTCATGCTCTGCCGAGGTGAAGCGGCTGGAAAAGTGGGATTTCTCCTCTCATTACGGCGCGTCCCACTGCTGCATGTTACTAATTCATCAGCTCAGTGGGAGGCCTGCGATAATGAGGAGATCTCACACGCACACACAACCTAAAGCTCCCCACACTTCTCTGATATCTGAGCCAGACACACAGACAGACAGTCAGTGTATGTGTGTGTGCGTGTTTGTGTACGAGGGGAGGAGATTTCTTCATAGTCATCTCCATTTCTGCTCTCCGGGTACAGAGGAAAGTCAACAACAGTAATCAAGAGTCATCAAATCAGTGGGTTCCCGCTGAGAAAAGCAGATTAGGGATTCCTTTATGCACTTTCATTTGTTGAACGTGTCTTTACAAAAGTAGCTGACCTATAAAACTCTTGTCGTTATTTATTCACCCTCAGGTCATTACAAACTTTTAGAAAATTAGATTTGATGTCAGAAAAAGAAAATAGGACTTATTTAAGAATGATTAGATAAAAATATCCACATTCTCATTTTATTTAAACAATTATTTTTTTCCATATGAATTGTTTTTTTAAATTTGAATATATTTGATATCTTACACAACACAATACTGCAATAAATATTATAATACAATATTATTATATTGTATTAGTATGATAATAAAATAATATTTATTATGATTAATAGTACTGTCATTATCAAATTGTATCATGTCATAATAATCAAATTATTAAATATTGTTGTAAATATATGTACTATTTAAAACAATATTAGACTGTTGAACACTCTTTACCAATTATAATAATAATGATTACTAATATATGTAAATATTTATGTATTATTACATACATTATTATAACAATAATACATGTATTATTAGAACAAAAATATATTACTGAGTTTATAATAATAATTATAATAATATTAATAATACAAGTCAAAATATTACATCGTAAATTATTCATCAAACTAAAATGCAATGTATAATTTAATTTGATTCATGTATTAATTAATTTATATATTGCTATTATTGCTTTTATTTGATAAATATAAATATATTTTGGTATTCATTTTACTAAATTTATTACAGAATATTTTTAATTTTTAAATGAACATAACTTAATATAAAAAACATAAATATTGGTCTGTTGCTCACACAAAGCTAAACTACTGATATAATACATTCGTTCAATTTCTTCGGCTTAGTCCCTTTATTAATCAGGGGTCGCCACAGCGGAATGAACCGCCAACTCATCCAGCATATGTTTTACACAGCGGATTTCCTTTCAGCGGCAACCCAGTACTGGAAAACAGCCATTCACTCTCACATTCACACACTCATACACTACGGCCAATTTAGTTTACTCCTTTCACCTATAGCGCATGTGTTTGGACTGTGGGGGAAACCAGAGCACTCGGAGGAAACCCCTGGCATGCAAACTCTACACAGTAAGGCCAACTGGCCTAGCTGGGACTCGAATCAGCAACTTTTTTGATGGGAGGCGACAGTGCTAACCACTGAGCCACCGTGCCACCCCTGATAAAGTACATTTATGGTGATTTCGCATAAAAACGATCACACTACGCGTTATGGAAAAGAAAAAAATCAGCCTACTTTAATTCCCCGCTGAAGTTTGAAACAACATGCCAATCTGAATATACATGCACTATTATATTCCATTTTTCCTTATGCATAGAGCTTGTGTTTAATGTATTTAAATGACAAAAAGTCCTCTTTAAATACTTAATAATATATAAATAACTTTTATAAGGTGTTTAAACACAGTTGTGTGTCAGCAGTGTGTGAATATAAGCAGCCTCTAATAGTAAAAATTATTAATTTAAGAAACACTTTGATTGATATTCTCCCTTTGTACGTGTCATCAGAGGGAGAAAAAACCCCGCCCACTAGTGCCCATCCCTCCCTCATTAGCATAAACAGTCCTAAGTGAGAAGCATTCGTTTTGAATCTGCCACTATGCTGACACACAGGCATCTGTAGCTCCGCCTTCTTCTGAAAAAGAGCACAATCTCATTTGCATTAAAAGCGACAGTCACAAAAATGGCACAATTAGCATCAAAACCAAAAAGGATCAGTTTCAGAGAGATATTAAATATTATCTGTGTGGTATTTTGAGCTGAAACACACTCACACACTCTGGGGACATCAGAGACTTTCTATTTTGTGGTCTGCTTTAA